AGCCGCCCCCAAGCCAGCAGGAAAGTAAGCTTGCTAGGGACGGCCTGGTAGCTGCAACTAATTCCTTTAGACGGCTGATATGATAAAACGTGGAAGGGCTGGCTCCTACGATGTAATAGCAATAGTGTAAATTTTAACTCGATGAATACCATCATCAACATAAACCCACTTGCCAGCACTATCATACAGGAAACACTTATAAGAGCTGTTTTTACTGTGCGTGTTCTTACTATTGTGAGCATTATAAAGGGAACAATTGAGCTCTGACTCGAGAAGTACTACTTGCGTTAACACATCTGAAACGCCCTCACATATTGAGAAGCAGAGACGCGATCAAATACCCAACAGCATGTTTTCAGTAATCCTTTACTAGTTGTCGCTATTACTACATTCTCTATTTCCTCCGTCCTAGGCAGGCGTCGCGACGAAACAGGCTTATAAAGCTAGAGCCTGAATATATATTAATAACAGGGGTAGGTGCAGGAATTGGTTTCGGGTGTGCAAAGGAACTCGTGAAATAAGGGTTGAGTACAGCACTGCAAGTCATGATTCAGGCTGACCGGCCGGTTGCTCGAGTCAGCCAATGATTTGCTAAAAAGCCAGGAAAATGTCTAGGCTTACTGATGAAGGAGACTGACTCACTTATAGAGACTTAGTTTCTTCTATTTGTTAATCATAACACAGGCCTAATCTACACTAAAATTACACGTAAACACGTCTATCGCTTACCTAATACCTAGGTATCTTTCACCCTTGATTAAATTCGCAACTATACACCCAAATTTAAAGCTATCACGACGATTCTACTATATCCATTAACCTTACGAAGCCTTTTATAAGCCTCTAAGGCTAAGGATGCCCTAGTTCAAGTGGGATATACACGGTTAAATCAGCCGGTATAGCTATCAAGATCGCTAGGACTACTTTAGTAGAGGGCTCGTAAGACACTAGATCTAAAGCTAACTAAGATATATAAAAAATATATAAAGCTTAGTTCTATTTATTTAGTAATAGTTAAATATAATTAAGGCTATTACTAATTAATATAGAATTAATTGATAAGAGAATAATTTTAATTAATTATATATATTATTTAAGCTATTATATAGTAAGTTAATATAATATTAAGTAATACTAGTTATAAGTTAATCTACTTTAAGTTAATAACTTCTAGATTATAGTTAGTAAGTAGATACTTAGTAGATTAATATACTAGTTACTTTAGTTATCTAATAATTTACTAAAAAGCTAGGGAAATTTCTAGGTATACTACTAAGGAAGGCTTACTTATGTAAACTCCGACCCCACTCATGTAAACTCCGACACCATTTATGTAAACTCCGACTCCACTTAGCAGACCGATCGGCTGGCTTATGCAAACTCCGACCCCACTTAGTACACCAACACGTCTAGCATGCTGCCCCTGACGGCGTGTAAGTGTAGACTGGATATATAAACGTAGCTACAGAGTCAATAGTCCGTAGAAGCGAATTGCTACTTCGCACTGAATCTATCATAGTGAGGTACCTTGTGGCGTGGCGATCCTCTTGGCAATTGACTCCGTCTTAAACAGAGACTTGTTAGTCGGAGCACACTCGCAGCTACATATATTAGAATGCTTCGGCGAAGACAATTGCGGGCTCAGTCGGCGAAGTCTGATTCAGTAGCTATTTGATAGGAAGAATGGCCGGGCTGTGTGGCTTACTAGGGGTCGACTCAGTAGCTACTGTGTCATCCCTACTTGTAAACGGAAATAGCAGTGTTGACTTATAGCAGGTGAGATAAAACTTGCCGGGTGAGTAAAATCGAGTCAGTAGCTTGGCGCTATTGGGGATTAATTAGAAGTGCCCCTGAGATTGTTGACTAAGAGTTATAGAGTAGAGTATCCACGTGGAGATGTATGCCCTTGATATGAGGCTCTTGGCTATTGTTTGAGATGAACGGATTGTGGTGATATACGCCGCCCACCTCTCGGTATACACGATCGGGACTCCCATTAATGAACAAGCATAATTACTCTGGTCTCTCTCATCTAATTCGATGCTGCTGCGGGGCTTGGAGTATACAGTACCTCTACCATGGAACATGAGTAGTGAACCAAGCCGGGCATAGATGCGAGCTCAATGAAAGTATTACGGGAAACACTGACTATATCAAAGCAGCGGTAGAGTAGCGTAGTCGGAAATCCCGCGAGAGTTTTCACTCGGATAATTGAACTCGAAAGCCACGGACTATAAGAGTGCTTTGGGGTCCCTAGCTAAAAGACAAATTATCATTACAATCATCCCATCAGCGCTTCCGAGAAGCTCTTATACTACCAGAACCGACATTTACATTCTTTCTTTTCTCAAGATAGTCAAGATGATTAATCCAATGAATTGGGCTACGGCGGCTCTCGCATTTGCCACCGTTTCCGTGCAAGGTGCTGCCGTGCCTGCCACAGCCGGTAAGACCAAGGCCACTATTCGCACCTCCGCAACGACCAGAGCGTGGCCATCCTGACGTGACAGGCCCCCTAAACGGACGCGCGGAGCCGCTTCCTACCGTCGTCTACCGAGGCAGCGCAAGCATCCCTGAGACCATCAAGGAGCGCGGCGGCTTCATCCCCCGCCCGCGCGACGACGAGCCTATCTCTAATATGACCTTTGGCCTCCGAAACCACCACCTCGGTAAGACGCGCACTGTGTATACCTCGACGTCGCGAGACGTGGACGTTGCCGTGAGCTTTGCCCTATCGAATTCGCAGCCTAGCGCCTGGATCTACAAGATCCACTCAACGCCTAATATGATTGACCTGAACGACTCAGGCTTCCGGCTCGTATTTCTCCAGGAGGAAGAGTTCGTGGCTCTCGGTGGCGTCCGCTACGACCAGATCGAGGCCTGGGCCCCGGCAAGCGGCGGCGAACTCAACTTCACGGCCAACCCGGACTTTGCCAGCAAGAAGTACGAGGGCCTGTCCGCGAGCCCTGGACAGCCGCAGCTGGCTGGCGACCAGGCCAACCTGGCCAAGTATAACGAGAAGACGCTCGAGGAGTATGCAATTGAGTTTATGGAGAAGAATGGCGGTCCGGTCGGCTTCGACGGCACGTTCCCGCTCAACGTTCTTAAGACCGACGCGCCGGCTGAGCCTACTGACCCTAGAGAGATGGAAGAAAAGCTCTGCTCTAACTCGGAGGAAGTGTTTAACCTGAGTAAGGCCGACTGCTACAACCAGGTTTCCCAATGCGTCTTCGAACAACTCAGTAAGGGCATGGTCAACGTTGACTTCAGCCCCATCACTGCCTGTATGAATGCCAAGTGGCTCGTGGTCTAAGTGGCGGTATAAACTGGGAAGCCTACTTGCCAGAATACTGTCCTTTTTGTTAATGCTTGTTCTGTGGGCGAAGAGACAGTCTAGAGTGTATTCAAATGTGTCTGTCGGATGGCTTTGTCGGGATGCGTGTCGGTTGCTTCGGATTCAGTTAGTACTCCCGCTTAAGATTGAGCAGTATGTCATGGCAGATATCGTGAGCACTCCAAGGATGCAAACCACTCAATTCAATCCAGCGAATAGCATACTAGCCAATATAGTGAGTAGTGTCTAGCAGAAGTTTAGATCCTTACAGGATCCAAGTTTTATAAAAGTTCGCATACTTGACCTGATGGTCTCGGCCCAGCGCTAGGTTTATGGCAGACTTCGGTTGGCACCAACGCACAGTAGTCTTCCTTTTGGTAACGCCAAACTTGGCATCCTCTCCGAACCCCCCCCCCCCCTATAAGGCTACTGATCTTTGTCAGCAGGACAACAACGTCATTTTCTAGTATACTCATAGTCAATCAAAGTAATGGCTGTGGTGGCAGTGACACAGCGATGCGCGCGTCCACAGGTGAAATTACCCATTTGTTGCCGGGCGTCTAGCATCCGCACAACAGCGACACCTGGAGCTATCGCGACATCCTCGACGAGTTTAATCTCTGCTTCTCAATGCGGCAAGATCGTTAGCGTAATACTTTTGGATAAGTAAAATTCATGCACGCTACCTAGTTAGACTACCAACACTAAGCCTGGCATGTATTTAGGGCAGGCATCCCACCCGAACCGTTAGCAGATCTCACACAAACAGCGCTTCTCATATTGTGCGGCACAATAGCGGCGATCTTGCAATTACTGCCGATCATCTGCTTCATCGTTGCCGCAGATGACAGATGCTGTAATAAATACATAGTGTGGTGGATCGGAGTTTAGGGCACCAACTGCTACATAGCTCGTGACACTTTATCAGAACCGAGATCAGCCTGAATATTGCCTCAGTCGGCTGTTATCGGGAGGACCCCTCGAGTCCAGCCACAGTTACGCAATTGCCTACGGGTCTACAGTCTACTGATGCAGATTTACCCAGCGGCAAGCAGCGTCGCTTTTGATGAGCCCTTTGCAGTTTTGCTATGACGCTCTACGACAAGGCGATGTGGCAGCCGTGCTGGTACCTGGGAATTGAAACCACGCTTGATGCGTATGTCAGTCAGCGGAACTGTAGCCTTCAACTCGACTGCGGTCTAACGCCTGGCTGACATACACCTCGGCATGGATTTGCACAAACATCAAGACACGCGAATCTCATGTGATGGCGCTGACGGTTGAGCCAGATCGAGACGTGTCCGTATGCGTAGAGAAGTTGCTCAAAACTGTGTTCCGCGCCGTTTGTGCACTGCGAATTCTCTTGCAGGTCGGCATTGCGTTCCTGGCGCGCGGAAACTGGAGCGCGCAGACGGCGTCTGCGTATCGGCGCATTGAGAATCTAGAAATGGGCGTGCAAAGGCATCCAGTTGTACGAGATTGGGCACGTCGTAGAGGGAAGCTCTGTTCATAGCGGCCGAGTCGATTGAAAAGCGGCTGCAATGGAGTGGGTTGTAGCTTGCGCATCAAAAGTCTAATCGAACATTGGAAGAATTCGAGTATATTTTCGAGCTAGTCGCGATGCCGATTTTCTAGGAGGACGGGTGAGCTGGCAAGTTCGAGTTTTGTCGGCGATGCTCGCTGGTAGAGAGTTTTGCGGGGATATCGCCCTATCAGCTGATTCGTATGCCGCTGCCCAACCGGTACTGGTGAAGGTCATAGACAAACAAGAATTTCATTGTCGATTCACCTTGCAATGGTGGATTGGTGGTCTATGTGTCAGACTCACGCAAATTTGAAATAGAAGACTTTGTGGCCAGAAAAACCTGCATGGTTACTAATTGTCATGATTCCGCAACACTGGTGACGCAAGGGCGGGATGAAGCCAGGTGGGTGGCCGTCAAGCATTCCACGGTCACATCGCGGAAAAGCTTTGTTATTATCAGTAAAGCAAAGTACCCAGTAAAATGAACAAGAACGTCGAGACAAACTGAAGAATACGTGGTAGTGGTCGATCAGGGGCAAGGTAATCCGTACATACGGATACTTTGGAGAAAAGCCGTAGCCCCACTGATGGATAGGGCGAAATTTAGGGCCAATGCGCATGAACATGATTGACAAGTCGACAAGCAAGTTGCCTGAGAGCTGGAGTTCTGGGTTCTGGAACAAGCTTTGCAGGGATGCCACTCGAGTCCTCGACCAATGCACGAGGCTGCCAGCTAGTTAGAACATCAGACACAAGACAACCAGTTACGAGCGTCCTCCCTTCCATCAAAGTATGAACACGGAAGAGGCTTTCGGTAGTAGGTACGCATAAGGTAGACTGCTGCTATTTGTCGTGCTATTTGTCGCGGGCGGAGCGCAAGGGGAAAAAGGGAACGCTACGATATTCCAGCCTAGCATTCCAGTTCCAGCAGCTGTCTACTCATAACTACCTTAGGGGAGGGGTCGTATTCAGGAGGAAAGCCTTGTCGTCGCCACCTGTGTTTTGAAAACTACCTACGGTACCTACCTACCTAGTCATTTTTTCGTTCTAAAAACCAGCAGTTAAGGGGCCACTCGAGTCCTCTGTCCACCTAAATTCAGCATCGCGCTCACTCAAGGGCCAGGACTCTGATTGCGAGGCTTTTTTCCTTCACTTCTAACCAGCTCCCCTTGACTTGTTCAACCCAGCACCTTGGTCTGATCTCCCATCGCCCGCCTGCCGCCCAGACGGGGAGACACAAGCCGACACCCAAACGAGAACCATGTTCACTGGCGATCAAAAGTCGGGTGCAGGCCGACTCTTCGCCGTGCCCATGTCGAAGCGCTTCATCGTGGCCATTTTGGCCGCTGTTGGCTTCGTCTGGATCCTGCTGCAGAGCCACCGGATCCAGCCTGTCAAGGACCGAGCCAGGGCACTGTATACGAATAACATACTCGACAAGATTAACAACAGCACCTTGGGGGTAAGAAAGCCAACCCTTTTCCCCTTGCTTAATTTCGCGGTGTTTTTTTTTCTTTTTTTTTTCTTTCGTAGGGAAGCCCCGTCGCTGACAGTCTGTCGCAGTTTGAGAAAATCTATGTCATGGGCCTTCCTTCGCGCACCGACCGGCGCGACGGCATGGCCCTCCAGGCGGCCCTGAGCGACCTTAGCATCGAGTTTATCGACGGTCCTTTGGGCGAAAATATTTCCGAAAAGGCCATTCCCACCGCCGAGGACGGCAAGCACCTCACCGGCGGCGAGCTTGGCTGCTGGCGCGGCCACATCAACGCCCTCCAAGAGTATGTTTCTCCCTTTAGCACAGCCCGTTCGTTCTGTGTCTAGTATCTTGCGCTCCTGCATTGCCATCCATACACGTCTCCTGCGGCATCATAAACCCGCGCTAACAATGCGGCCTTTGGCATAGAATCGTCCGTCTCAACATTTCCTCGGCGCTAATCCTCGAAGACGACTCCGATTGGGATGTCCGCATCCGCTCCATCATGCAGGACCTCGCCATCTCGACACAGGCCTTAACACAACCCCTAGCTGGCAGCACCAGCTCGTACGCCGACTCAACCTACCCGAGCAACGAGAACCAGCAAAACGCGTCCGTTGCCGAGTTTGACATCAACGCCCTCCCGCGCACCGTCGCGCCCAAAATCTCACCCTACGGTGACGAGTGGGAAATGATGTGGCTCGGTCACTGCGGCATGCTATTTCCTACCGCCGAGGAAGGCCTTCCTATGGGCCGCGTCATCCACAAGGATGACCCAACAGTGCCGCCATCCGGGCTCTGGTCGCTCGCGTCCAAGACCAACGATCTCGTCGAGCAATACCCCAAGCGCACGCGCGCTGTCCATCATGCTGCCAACGGCGTCTGCTCGCTCGGATACGCTGTCACACAAAAGGGTGCTCGCGGTTTGCTGCGGGAGATTGGCCTGCGCGAGGTCAAGGATCCCCTCGACATTCTTCTACGCTTTTATTGCATGGGGCTCAAAGGCCGTCGCAAGCACAATTGCATTGCCGCCCAACCCCCCATTTTCAACCATCACCGTCCCGCTGGCCTCAAGTCGGCAAATAGCAACATTGGCGACCATGGCTCCGAGTATCAGGCCGAGCCGCATACGGACATGGTTCAGTGGAGCGTGCGTCTGAATGCAGATGCCATCATGGATGGTAAGACCGAGTTCCAAGATTACTACAAGTAAAGGATACACTCTTTCTGATTTTTCTCTTGTTTCAATTCCATCGATAAACATCGATGTGGTTATCACCTTTTGTTATCCGTTGGCATTTAATTACCGAGTGTCGACACATTTTTATTAGTCTTTTACCTTTGGATCTCATTTATAGGCGCATTGGGTGGGAAGGCACGAGCTTGTACCATAGAAGTATCAGTATCTAGGGTCATTACAAAATGACATTGAATTCATCTACAAAACTCTGAGCATTCTGCATCTCTGCATAGTTAGTTAATGGTACGTGGGGGTAGCCAACGTTACGTCTGTCATGGAGTGTCTTGCTTCCCCCACGTTGAGCGGAAGCGGGCGGGCGCTGTAACCCCCGCCGAGCTTGCTCCAAGACAGCCTGACAGCGTATCTATCTAGCTCTACAAGGTAGCTGCCTATCAATAAACTAAAGAATAGTTACATTACCACAAAGATGGAAACGAAGCATTCAATTCATGTGTGGCGCTTGTGTCCATCCAAATACTTGATGGGCCCAGCGTTGGCCAAACATGACTGCCACCCCACTATAGTGACAACTTTCGAGGTTACATGCGAGCGGCTTGATTCACGATTCCCGTTGAGGTTTCCTTAAGTATCCTTGGTTGCCAGTGTTCTTATTTACCATTACGTTATCATAGAAACCAAGGTCAAACAGCGAACTGAAAGATGATAACGCCAGAGCAGCGTAAAAAGGTCGGCCAGGTACGTATACCCCACTCCATTCACGATTCACCAAGCTGACGTCAACATACAGCTCTTTGCTGTCGGCTTTCACGACACATTCATCAACAGCGACATCAAATCTCTGATTCAAGATTACGGCGTCGGCGCCATTGTACTCTTCAAGCGCAACGTCAGCTCCGCGACGCAGCTGCGCACCCTTTGCCATGACCTCCAGCAGCTCGCCCACAACGCCGGCCACGCGCAGCCGCTCCTCATCGGCATCGACCAGGAAAACGGGCTCATCACACGCATCTCTCCGCCCGTCGCCTCGCAGCAACCCGGCCCCATGGCGCTCGCGGCCACACGCTCACTCGACACGGCGTCGCAGGTCGCGGGGGCGACGGCCGAAATGTTACGCCACTTTGGCATTAACATGAACTACGCACCCGTTGGCGACGTCAACTCGGAGCCTCTGAATCCCGTCATCGGCGTGCGCAGTCCCAGTGACGATCCGGAGACGGTGGCGCAGTTTGCAGCGGCCTGCGCCACGGGCATGCGGGAGCATGGTGTTGTGTCGTGCATCAAGCACTTTCCCGGCCACGGAGACACGGCAGTCGACTCGCACTACGGCCTGCCATCGATTGACAAGAGCCGCGCGCAGCTCGATACTGTGGAGTTGGTTCCGTTCAGACACGCTGCTCGTGAGGGAATTGAGATGGTCATGACGGCGCACATTGCGCTGCCGCAGCTGACAGGCTCCGAGACACCAGCCACGCTGTCGCCGCAGGTCCTGCACATACTGCGCGACGAGCTGTCTTTCCACGGCGTGATCATGACTGACTGTCTCGAAATGGATGGCATCCGCTCCACGTTTGGAACGGTAGAGGGCTCCCTCATGGCGTTTCAGGCTGGTGTCGACAATGCCATGATCTGCCACACATACGAGGTGCAAACTGCCGCCATCGATCGCCTTTGCGCCGCTCTAGACGCCGGAGAAATACCGCAGCGACGCATCCAAGAGTCAATTGACCGCCTGAGCAGGCTCAAGTCAACGTTTACGACCTGGGACCGCGCGCTGCAGACTAGCACCGACGAAGCCCTCGTCGATATCAACGTCCGCGGCGCCAAACTCGCGCACAAGGCTTACGCCGACGCCGCCACCGTTGTGCGCATCGAAGACGGCGTGATACCAGTATCCAAGTCAGCCAGTACAGTCTTTGTCTCGCCGGGGCCGGACTTTCCCGTCGGCGGCGGCGCCGTCAACAGCGGCGACGCGGCGCACCCGACGCGCGTGCCGTGGGTGTCGAGCTTTTTTGGCGACGAGATTTGCGCGCACTGCGCTGTCGCTGAAGAGATTCGCTATACGGAGCAGCCACTGACTGACGAGCAGTGGAGCAGGATTGAAGCCGCAGAGGTCGTCATTCTGGCCACGCGCAACGCCCGAGAGGCACCGTACCAGCAGAAACTGGGCCTGGACATTGCCAAGTGCAGAGCGGGTAAGACGTGGATCAGTATTGCCACGTGTGCGCCATATGACTTTTTAGAACAGAGTGCGGTCAAGAATGTGATTGTGGTATATGAGCCTACGCTGGAGGCATTTCGTGCGGCTGTTGATATCATTTATGGAATTGATACGGCGCGAGGTAAACTTCCCGTAGCCGAGAAAAGGGTGTAGAAGGGGATTTTGTACATGGCATATAAATTCTTAGCCAATGATAATCATCACCATAAGCTATCCCCCATTCCGAAACCACCGAAATCGAAACCGCCGCCGCTCCCGCCGCTGTTGAAATCCATCGCCAGAAATGCATCCAAGTCAAAGTCACCCATCACCGCATCACCGCTTGTACTAATCGCTGCTAATCTTTCTACGGTCGCTTCTAGATACTTTTGCACATCCGCGAGCTTCTTCGTCACGGCGCTGCTAAGAGCCTGCGCGGGGCTCTCCTGGTTTTCCATGGCGCGCAGCTGTGCTATGATAAACGTCGTCAACCCAAACGCCTTGCAGCGGGGGCTGCCCATTTCAATGCGTCTCAGGAATTCATCTCGAATAAGAATGAGCGCGGCAAATATGGGCTCTCGAGCGGCTTTTGCAAACTGTCCCGAGGGACCGCTGCCGCGGCTGTCGTCCTCCTCGAGCTGCATGCGCAGCTCGAGACCCAGCATGGTAATAATTTCGAGTGATAGAGGGGCGCGCATGCTGCCTGTAGTAATGAGAAAGAGCTGAGAGAGTCGACGCAAGTGGATGTCGGCGGAGGACGTATGTGATGCGTACGAGGCAATCACCATGGCGGCGTCAAAGCACGCCTTGCGGGAGAGGAAGCAGCTGGCTTCATCAGGCTGTTGTAGCAGGAACTGGCGGTGAAGACGAAGAATGTGTAGCCGAAAATGAATATCGAGAAAGCTGCGTTGGAAGTTGTTTACTAGAGGAGAGTTGAGGTGGACGTCGAAGAATCCAGATAGCTTGGCACAGTGAGCCTTGAGCGAATTCGCGAGCTTAATGGTATCTGCGTAGGCAAGACTGTTGCCGCTATGCAGACACTGTGCGGCCTGAAGACGTTTGGAAAAGCTCTCGCAAAGAAGCCGCTGCAGCGAGGTATCTGTAATCTGACCACAAGGTTTCCCAACGGGCAAGCACCCAAGCTCGGGCGTAATATCCTCATCGTTGATGTTGTCCGGCGGCTTGGTGTCGCAGGAGTTCATATCAATGTAAGCCTGCATCGAGCTGTCCATTGCTGATAAAAGATGAAGCTCCTGCACAGTCGCCCATAGCTGACGCTGCATCTGGGCTTGCAGCGGCACCATGGACGGGAAGTGGCTCGGGTCGCGATGGAGGCCGATCGAAAACGCCATCTGCAGCAGCGAGCCCGAGCTGATCCACGCCCTCCCGACCGCCGTCATCTGTCTCGCCAGCTGCAAAAGACAGGCAACCTGGATACCGTCGAGGTTGAAGGTCGATTTCTCTGTCGGCCCCGTCAGCCACCACTGCGCGGCGTAGGTCCACATCCTCGTCTGCCTGTCGGCGAGGGCACACTCGTTGGTATCTTGGTCAAGTGTCGACCCTAGTGCAAGAATGAGAACTAGCTTCATTCTAAACGCCAAGCTGCTAGCGGTCTGGTCCTCCCAGAAAGAGTCGTACTGCTGGAAGAATGTGGGTATGTGTAGCACGCGATAGATGCGCTCGTGCGTAGACATGTAAATGTTCACGTACGCGTCACACTCTGCCCGCGTGGGAATGGTTGCCAGGATATCTACGACAGGGTCGTTGAGTACAGGCATCTCGAATTGCTTGATTGTAAGCCGACGTTTGGTCACTTCCTGTCGAATCTTGGCAAAGTCGATCTTTGGTGTCTCAAAGCTCAGCTCGACATCCTTGGCTCCAACGCTTCCTGCATTGATCTTGATGGTCAGAATCAAGATTGCCGAATCTGGTAACGTGTTCTTACATGCTTCGCAGTGTGAACCCAGTGGTTTGCGCCAAATAGCTTGTTCTTGTCCGCCGTCTGTCGCAGCTTCGGCTGAATAGGAGTGACACGCAAGTCAGTCGCGAGCGTCGCCGCAGGCCTCACTACATCAGCTTCCAACCTGGACTCGAGCCTGATTACTCTATTCTGTAGGTGCGCAATCTGTCGTCGTAGCTGTTCCGCTTCTGTGTTTCCGCAAAGCGATGAAGCTTCCGGCGTGTAATGTCGGGTCTCTGCTGGCGTGTGCGGCGCTGCAGCACCTGAACCGCTCTCCTCGGGCGATGGATCGGGCGACGGCAGACGGACCGTGCCTGGCCCGTAGATGCACTTTGGGGCCGAGCGGGCTTTAGTGCAGGGGCCGCAGGGTATCTTTTGGTCACATCGCACCTTGCGCGCGCGGCAGGCGTCGCAGCTTTTGGCTGGGCGGCGGCGTCTCTTGACGCTGTGCTGGTCCGGCAGGTCCGACGACATTTCCTCAACCGGCAGACTGTTTGCTGTAACAGCCTCGTTTTGATAAGTGTTTGGCAATTTGAATACACTCTTGTGGCGACTATCTGAGCTTTCAGAAGGGGACGAAATAGAAACCGAACGAAAACTCGGGCATATAAGCATTCGCCGGTTTATGCGAGACTTAATCTCGGAAAATCCAGACAAGTTCGGGAAATTGGGAATAATCCGAGCTCTAGCTTGTGACGGAACTGGGCAGAGAATGAAACCATCTCTGGAATTGGAAAAGTGAAATGTTGCTCGACATTGAAAACTTCTTAATTAACATATTTCTTTGTACAATTTCTTTGCTTTCCCAAACACCGGTTGTATTTTGCGCCGCTGGTGATGGCTTTCTTGTAGGCTTGCCCTGCGCTGTATCCGGCGCAGTACCCTAAAGTCAACCTGGAATTATAACTACTTGATGAAAGCGGCGGATGACCTGAAGTCAAAATCCTCATGGCCAAGTAAGTCGACTGTATTTCGCCCTTCTTTCCGTCTGCTCTCTACTATTGAACGATGCCTGTCACATCGCGAGATGATGCAGAATGAGGCTTAGATGAAGTGAAAGGCATAGCCATGAACTCCAAAACTGCATTCTGTTTGAACGCACGAAATCAAGTCTCACAGCACACAATGCTACCAGTCTGTTCCTCTCTGCCAAGAGAATTATACTTCTATCTATTCATTGCCAGACTGTTCGGGCGACTGCTGGCCATAAAGGTGCCTGCCCTCGCCCCCACCTACACACACACTTCCCACTACTCAAGGCCCTTGAACATCATCTGTCACCTACAATTCACCTACTCCCTTTTGAATACCCTCCGCCCTTCAAACCAAGTTTCCTCCACCACACCGTTGATCAGCTTCTCCGGCGTCGGTTCCAGATCCACCACCACGAAATCCGCCTTCTTCCCGACTTCTAGACTACCCGTAGCGTGGTCCGCAAAGCACGAATACGCGGACCCGTGCGATGCGCCCGAGATGGCCTGCGCGACCGTCAGCGCAAACTCGGGATTCACCACCGTCTCCAACTCGGGCTCCCTGTACGACTTCCGCGTCGTCGCTACGTAGAGGTTCGGTAGTGGGAGGTGCGGCGCGGTCGGCGCGTCGGACCCCAGTGCGAGCGTGGCCCCGCCATCGACAAACTCGCGATACGCAAAGGCGCGGGTGCACCGGTCCGCTCCGATGAGCTTGGGCCATGCGCGAAGGATGGCGGGGTCCGAGTGTACGGGCTGAATGGAGGCCGTGATGCCTAGCTTGCCGAGGCGCAGGGCGTCTTCGGCCGAGGACAGCTCCAGGTGCTCGATGCGCGGGCGGCGAGAGGCGTCCGTGTTGGCTTCTAGCACGTCAATGGCCATCTTGATGGTGCGGTCACCGATGGCGTGCAGTGCGACCTGCAGGCCCAGCCCATGGGCCTTGGCGACCACCTTGTGCAGGACGGCCTCGGACCACAGCGAGTCCGGGTTCTCACCGTTTGAGTAGGGCTTCGTGAGAGACGCGGTACAAGCGTCGATAATGCCGTCGCATATGACCTTGATGCCGACGACGCGGCAGTCTGGCGTCGTGGCGGCGTTGTACTGGCGCGCCATGTCCGCCGCGTGGTCGACTTGCGACAGGATCTCATCGAGGGACTCGTTGGGCTTCATGAGCCAGTACGCAGAGATACGCATGGCGCCGAGGCCTGATTCCTTGCGCAGAGCAATGAGCGGATCCCAGATGTTGTCGTCCATGGCCATGTCAACCATGCCTGTATAGCCGGCGCTGTTGAAGTGCACAATGGCTTCGCGGATAGAAGCTTTCTTTTCCTCCATGGAGGCAACGATGGCAACAAATGGCCATATCACCTGAAATACGGCACCCTCATTGAAGACGCCGTTTAGTTTCCCATGGGCATCGCGCTGAAGGGTACCGCCTGCAGGATCCGGTGACGCGTCCGACAAGCCCATGAGCTGACAAATTTCGGCCAGCCCTGCGCTGTTGCACCACGTCGAGTGCAGATCCTTGGTGTCGACAAAAATTGGCCTCGGATCAATGTCATCTAGCGTGCTGCAGTCCACGCCCTCGGGCGTCATCGAGTGCATCCATCCACGCACAAAGAGGCGTTTGGCAGTGGGATTGGCCGCTGCACCAGCGGCAATGGCGGTGCGCACGTCAGCGAGCGTCCTGCAATGGTCGAGGCTAATTTTCTGCAGCGCCTGGCCAACCATGAGGAGATGCAGGTGGCCGTCTATGAAGCTAGGCAGGATGTACCGACCGGCGACGTCTTGGGTGGTGGCGCCGGACGACAGGGCGGCTCGGATAGGCTCGTCCGTCTGGGAGCCGACATGCCGGATCACGCCGTCGGCAACAATCATGCACTCGGCAAAAACTGGAGGCTGTGCATTTTTGTCAAGCGACGAGTTGTAAATGCGTCCATTAACGAAAATGGTCGTGTCCGACATGTTGCGCGTTCAAAAGTGCCCGTGGAAGGATGAGGGGAGCTGAAGCGACACTGCCGCATCACCGATGTCGCCGCTTAACATCGAGCGTATCTGCGGAGCGGGCGGAGACTCCGCATCACGTGTAGGACACTGTGTAAGCCAGAGCTTGGCATCGAAAACATCATTTCAAAGTCAGTCTCGCGGAAAAATTTGGCCGCGAGAATGTGTCTGGGCGTGATATTGTCGTAGTAGACGCAGATGTCCCCATGTTGCACCTCCATCGTTTTCCGTTTCGTGGCTGCTACACGTACTGGGCGGGGGTGGCCCGCGACCGGGATCATGCATTGCAGGACAAGGAACTCGTAATAGTGTGCGCAGCTCTGGGTAGGAGTACTGCAAGACATGATTGGCCAGACTGACTAACAATATGCACGAAACGACATCGAGAGCAGGGCAGACGGCTACTGCTGCTGCGAAATGGTGATATTTACCGCAAGCCGTGTCGGTACCTGCGTGGCTTGCTGGCCCTGGCGCAAGATGCGCCTCTGCCATCAAAAGTCGACAGCCTGCGTAGTAGCAACTGTCCACTTCCGTACAATGCAGAGATTTTCAGGCTTCAAACTCACGCAAGACCGGCTACCGGCTGGGTAAAAAGGATAACTGCTGATTGGTGAGACATTTCACTTACAGCATTTCAACACTGGGGCTGTATGACGCAGACTAGACTATGTCTGAGTACAGGATACTCGGAATCATAATTCGTCATTATTCATTGCCCGGCATGCGGCAGGGCCGTGTGCATGCTCTCTTGACTTCATTAATTATTTACAAAAAAAGCATCAGGGTGGCGACAAAAATCACGGCCGAAAGTGCGTAGCCGGGTGACACCATGCCGCTAACTGCGTCGCTCTTCTTCTTGCCGAAGCCCAGAGGCAGTCCCTGCTCGCCAAAAGTGACATTCTGGGCGACGGAGCTGTTCAAGCAGTGTCCATTTTCGATATCCAAGCCTGTCAAGTCACTTGGGACTTTGAAAAACATGTAGTTTTCCTGCGGAATGTCCTTGAACCCCTTGGTATCGTACGGCAATTTGTCATCGGCGTCCGTGGCCGAGGTGTTACGCAGAAGGATGCAGCTCACTTGCCCAGGGTAGTCCTTGTACATGGCCGGATACGCCTTCATCACATCGGCGTTGCTCGTGTCGGCGACGAGCACAAACGTGCGATTCGGAAAGGTCTGGAAAAGCCTGTCGAGAAGGTAGCGGCGAATCTGGAGCGTCTCTTTAACATTGGTAAAGTTCAGCGGCCGCGTATCAAACGAGCCCGCGGGGTACGTCCTAAAAATAAAATCCATATATGGCCGCGTCCCCTGCTCAGGCGTCGTCGTGAGGTAGTGAAAATGTAGCGAAGAGATGGCCGACGAGGACCAGTTGCTGTAGATGACGGGCATACCCTCCCACGCGGTAAACGGCCGCGCAAACGAGTTGAGGAGCCCTTCCTTGGGCTTGTAGATTTTAGTTACGCGCAGAATGTCATCAATATCCGAGACCACGGTCACGCCGCGTGGAGGGACGAGGTAGGCTGTCGCGTTGCCCGTATCGGTGCCCTTGACATGCATGTCGAGGGCCTGTATTTTCGTCGTCGCATTGCCCGGCAGAAGATAGGCGTTTGTATTGTTGGCTTTGCTCGATTCGTTTCGAAGCGCAACAAACACGTCGAAATCGCCCTCGGTCGTTGTTTCGAAAGGTAGCTTAATCTCTTGTCCGCCGCCTTTCTATTGCAAGGGAAAGCAGAAGAACGGGGGTTAATACTAGAATGCACATTGGACTTGGATATCGGCTCAACTGTACTCACGGCATTGACATAGGCGCCTCCACGGGGAGAAGATGAGTTGCTGCTGCGGACGGCAAATTCAACAGTCACATTTTCGTGGCCCTGCTGCACAACAAAGATCTCTCGCGTCAGATTGCGTGCTTGCTTCTTTCCGTCATCGCCGAGTTCCTTGACGCTTGTGCCAATCAGAAACGCATCAGCGAGCTTATCAATCTTTTCCTGGGCCACGTCGGGCACTTTGTAGACGTTGCCGTGGACGCGCACGCTCCAGCCGTCGTTGGTCCAGTTGGCGTAGGCTCTTGCGTCAATATGACGTTAGTTTATCGCGTTGGATTAAAAACTCAAAGTCTCTTCTTACGGTAGATTGAGCACTCGTGTAGGCTGCGCGTCCAGCGCGCCAGCAGTGATGCCTAGAGAGCTCTCCACGGCGGTGCCTGTTGGGAAGCCGTGCGGAAAGTTGAGTAAGCCCGAGTCGACAAACGAAGAGATCTTGCTATCAATCTCGCTGCCCAGACTTTTGACGTAGGTGGACAGATCATCACCGAGACCGCGGGCCTGCGGCTGCAAAGCGGGCACGGGCGTTGGTTCGGGAGCAGCGGCAGCAGCATCGCGGCCTACAGAGACGAGCCGGCTTGGCGTTGGTGCTGGCGTGGGAGTCGGGGCTGCCCTGCCGATCCCAACCGCTGCCAAGATGGCTAGCGTGGCGTCGAGCTTCATGATTTCGATGCACCGGTGCAGAAATGTCCCAGAGCTTCTGTTGTCCTGCTCCTGAGCGGGTTCGATTGCGATGCCAGCGATGCGAAAAAGTAGTAGAATAACAGTAGCTGGGTCGACACGTGTATATGAGACTTCGCTGTAGTTTTCAAAGCAACCAGAGCTAGTGTGAATCTGACATACTGCTAATAATAATAATAAGCCACAGCAGTTTTACCTAGTAACAGGTATTGTTGCGGCTGGCTGGCCTTGTTTTTCCCATGACATCACCTATTGGCGCGTCAACGGGGCTTCGACTCTTACGGCAGCCAGCAGCCCCATGCTGACAAGCGAGTGGTGCGAAGCACCTGCTATTTGTCGTACTTTTGATGCAGATCGAAAATTCTCTGCGCTTTACTTGGCCGAAAATTTTCGTGTTCCCTGCCACGTCGAGATCTCGATGGTCATAGATGCCCGAAACCTCAGAGCCCGCAGCGCCCTGCTGTTGCCCTACATCAACAGGAGCCCATAATTTGCCTCATGCCATGTCACATAGGTCTGTTGGCCGACGTTCAATTTAAATTAGCTAAAAATTTCAACGACACGCAGGCACGAAGAAACGGGAATGATATCCTACTGGCGAATGATTGATGGATGTGTTGCTATTCATAGGCTGTATGTATGTCTATATTATTAGCTGCAGCAGTGTGCGATGTAATGCATTTCATTTTGATCGTAGAGTTCCCTATTTGCGTGCCGATTCCAGATCTGCGGATGATTGGGATTGATGAAGATAGATGCCGAGCAACTCGGCGCTGAAGCGCTCGAGGTGAGCATATCGAGACACGCCGGCGGAGCGTAAGCAGTCATGCGCGGCTTCCAATAAAGCAGGGTGGAATGTATCGGGAAGAGCAGCAATGTCGGCCAGCGAGACTTCAACCTGCTCTGCGTCGGGATCGCACAGGGCGTAGCAAAGCCGGCTGTCGGAGACGACATTGATACAGAAGGCCTCAAGCAGACCCGAAGTGTCGATGAGATCGAGCGCCTGGGGCACGGTGGCGGCTTGCAGCACCAAATCCCTCTCGGCAAGCTCTGCGTTGCGCGCGAGGCCTGTCCGTGCCTCGGCGGCGAAGCGAAGGACTTTGCATAGCTTTTCAACGTCCATGTCGGGCATCTGACGCATGTCGTCGTGGCTGTAGCCAAGTCTCGTCCGCCAGAACCAGTTGCAGGTAAAGGAGAGGACGATGACCGGGATGAGTATGACATATGCCCACCATTGCGTGGCAGTCAGCATAGATGCGACACCTCCAACGAGGGTGATGGCTCCGTTGATTCCGCAATAAAGTTGCAGTTTCTTTGCGCGTTCTTTAACGAGCCTGTACTCGAGCGAGCCGGGCAGGGCGCGGGCGGTGGCCTTGACATGACCCTCGGTCTTGATAGCCAGATAGGTGGCCCAGCCGGAGTTGACGAGACCGTAAAGGGCAATTGGGGCGTTTCCGAGATAGCCGGACAGTATATTACTAGTCAGCCAAACTTTCTTGTTGGCACCGCCAATGGCCATGTAGGTGCCAATGCAGATAAGCACAGCACCAAATCCCATAAGGACATCCATGCCGAAGCGGTTGATGGTCTCGCAGCCGAGCTCGCGAAGATTGAGCTCTAGCAGGACCCTGACATCGCGGCTGCTCTGTCCGTGGGACTCTCGACGTTGGAGCGTTTCCTTTAGTTGGGCGCGCTGGCGGCGGAGGAAAACGACGTTGCGCCAGGAGTAGCGAGCATCGTCGAAAGCAAAGAAGGAGAGAACGCCAGCGCCAGTAGCACCAATGGCCATACAGACAATGGCGTAAACGGGCACGGGAATCTGGTTCCAGACATTGGCGGCAAAGTCGCCGGCGTTGGCGAGCTCAAGAAAGCCGACGGCGAGGCGAAGGTTGTTGCGGAAGCGCTGCTCTAGGACAGGAGTGTAGGCGCCCGAGGCGTGATCCTTGGCGAGACGGACGCGATTCTGGTAGCCAATCTCGGTGGTGCCAGAGGCGTCTTCGGTGGCGTCGTGGTCTTTGGTGAGGACTGGGTGAGGATGAGTGCCATGGTGTGCTGGTGGTGTTGGTGGTGTAGAGGCTAGCTCCATGTCCATGTCCGAGGCGGAGGCGGCATCGGGCTGTTGCACTGCCACGATTTCAGGGACCTTCGCCAGGTCTTTTTCGTCCAAACGCTCCATAATTACGGCTACTGGACCAGTGCAGTGGGCCAGCCGCTGCGTGTAATGGCAATATGTGAATCTTGTAAGAGAGGGAATGATATGCTGCTGGCTTCTATGTGTTGAGAGAGGCCATTATTCGCTTGTTGAGGCGAGAGGAGGAAGTTAAAGAGGACAGGAGAGCGAAGGACGGCCGCGAGTCGTCTTTTTACTAGAACGAATAGAGGGACCTGGGCTGGTCTCTTGTTTTTGGCTGGAGCTGGCTGGGGGCCGGAGAAAAAAAAAACCTTGCATAAAAAAATAAGAGATAAAAATAATGAGATTTAAAATAAAAGCATTGCGTGGCCCTCGTGTTGTGCCGTACGCCAAGCCCACTGTTTGGAACTGTTTAGCGGGCTTTGGGGGCCTAGAATGCTGATACGGAGGAACTCGAATTAGCAGAGGTAATTACTTCTGGATAGTAGTTATCGTAGTGGTATTGATTCGTTTCGAAATTGTATAGGTAGCTATTAATAGTACCAAAGAAGGACTTGTCGGAATGTCAACGCAATTAGGTCTTTATGGGCATCTTCAAAAGAAGGGTAAAGAAGCCCATCTGGCAGGACACCTGGCCACAAGCCAGTGCTGACTCCGGGATTTCTGCCCACCACGTGCAGGTCGTCATTCACTGCGACTCGCTGCAACTTTCCCATCACAGCATGCCCCTTTGCGGCATCGCGCACAACTTTTGTTCTGCATACTGCCAACTTTCTATCCCACAGTCCCCGCATGGTTCTCCTTCTACGTCTTTTCGGTATCATTTTTGATCTGATAATTATGCGACCACCGCAAATGCCCCATCGCCGCAACTCTGGGCCCCGTTTGTTGCCCTCCTTCGAATAATGTAGCCGAAAAGAACCGGCCAACTACCAACCTGAGTCATTAGCGAGTTCCATTCTAGCCCACGATAGCCATCAGTTCTCCTCTCTTTGATACACTGAACTGCTAAATGTTCACCGACACCCACATACCACGTCAACGCTAACACCTCCTGTCTCCACGGCGGATGCATCGGCATGTCTACTGGTCTCGCATATGGACCAAGGTGGACATCGCCGCCTTGTGCTCTCGCCCGGCATCGCGGTACGAATTGGCCGATCCATTATTGGCCCTGCTTTTGAGACCAGATGTACTGATAGATGGATATGTACTACCGCTAACGAAACCTACGATGGGGTTGAAGGCCAACCGAGACGCAGTACTTCTCACGAATGGCTTCTCCCAAGCGGCAATCGAAGTAGCCCAACGATTTCGGTTCTATCTATGCTTCTGCCACCATCTGCACAACTACGTCTTAAGAAACCTATACGCAGTCAACGCATGAATAATTTGCGCCACTTGTACCAGCTCCGCAACCTCAACATAGTCATCCGGTCCCCCCATGTTGTGAGGCGTCAGCCCAATAACCACCGACGGGATCCCTGCCGCTCTAAATAACCGCGCATCAGAAGCCCCGACTCGCATATTCACCGTCGCCGGTTCGTCCACCATCAGCCTTATCACCTCTAACGCGTGCCGTGCAATCTCCTCGTCTGTCTGGTGGCGTCCATGACGCTTCGTAGGCCCGCACAATATCGTGTCTTATCCCATCTGTCGGCTCTAGTATTCTCTTGATCTGCTTAATCAGTGTAGCCGTGGACAGGCCCACGGGCAGTCGAATGTCCAGCGATGCAGAAGCCGTCTCTGCTACTAGGTTTGTCGACGTTCCGCCGGATATTGTGCCAATATTCACCGTGATGCTGCCCAAAACAGCTGCCTCGCCGGGTCCTCCTAGGGGCTCCGACACGGGTTTGACCGCCGCGACTGCGTCCTCCACCTCTTTCACGGGCCAAGTCTCAAACTTCTCCAAGGACTTGAGTTGCGAAAGTGCTGCCATCAGCCCGTCAATTGCGTTGCTACCTATGTGAACATGAGCGCCGTGTGCCGCCTTCCCGCCGGCCTCGACTTCGAGCCACGAGAGTCCCTTTTCGCCCGTACGCACGATAATCGGTGACCCAGCATCGCCGCAGATCATGGCATCCGCCTATCCAACCTCTGCGACATGCTTGATGAGATGCGCCGAGCCAAGCTTGCCCATCGTCTCCTCATCCCCAGCTAGTGCAATCACCACCTCGCCACTCCAGCCCACATTGCAACGAGAGAGAGCTTGGGCCGCAATTATGGACGCTGCGAAACCACCCTTCATGTCCGGCACCCCGCACCCATACACGTGCTTGCCATCACTGCTGAGTTCGCCGCTGAATGGATCCAAAGTCCAGCGCCTAGCCTCGCCAGTCGGATAATTGTCAAGGTGGCCACTAAAAACGAGTCGCTTTCCGCGGCGTCCTGAGCGAATTATAGCGATGACATTAATGATGCCTGGACCGGTCTCGATGGTGGAGATGTCGCTTTTTGGTATCAATTGTCGAATTTGATCCGCCGCCACCAAGGCCACAGCGGACACATTGCCTGGTGGACTCGTCGATGGTGTACGGACGAGCTTCTGCGTGAGCGACAGTATACATTCAGCTCTAGCCTCGATCTCGGCCCTGAGCCTATTTTCTAGCGTAATGTATGCCATCTTTCTTTCTCAATGTTTTCTTGCAAGTTCCAAGTCTAACTAACTCCATACAAACCCTGACTCCATGAAGTTGACCCCCACACTCTAACTCTCGGCATGTCACAGCGCCACTTGACGGCGTCACTGTTGGCCTAGGCCAAAAACTGATTCGCCTTGAACTGGTCGTATTCTACCACGGCATCCAACAGGGTCTGCGTGCCGAGAGCACTTTGTTCTCAAATTAGTTCTAAGACCCACGAGTTTCACAGCGGGCAGCACTTACCAGTCTTGTGGTGAGGTATACTCTTCTGGATGGTGACTCACGCCATCCTTGCATGGTACGAAAATCATCGTTGTCGGGCATATCTTGCTCGTGTGTACGCTATCGTGGCCGGCGCCACTCGTCAGATGGCTCCAGCCGTCTTTTCCAACAGCCTTGCTCGCCGCGTTCTCGACCGCCCGGATACAGTCCTTGTCGAACTTGACCGCAGGTGAATACGTGTCCAGCTTCGTCGTGTAGCTCACGCCCTTGCCGTCTTCCTTGGCAATCTTGGCAAAAGACTTGTTAATTTCCTCCACGACAGTTGCAACAACGGAATTCTCTGGATGCCGCACATCCATAGAAAATGAGACATTCGCGGCAATGGTGTTGGTCGACGACGTCGCTGGTATTTTGAAGATACCCGTCGACGCCAACGCCCCGTGGCTCTTGGCAATTTCGTGCGCGCGGGATATCATCTTGGCCGCTGCGAGCAACGGGTCGCTTCTCATGTACAACGGCGTAGTCCCCGTGTGCGAGTCCCGCCCCGTGACGTGAATGGTGAACCATTGATACGCCTGCGAGCCTTGCACGACGCCGATTTTCCTACCAGTGTCTTGCAAGATAGGGCTCTGCTCAATGTGAAGTTCAAAATGCGCACCGAGGGGGTATACCTCGTGAGAGCAAGCCACGGAGCCAATAAGGCCGTGCCGTGCAAGCTCTGACTTGACCGTCTTGTTGTCGTCAAAGACGTCGCGCGTATTCCAGGCTGTGTCGAGCGGTATCTTGCCCGCCCAGACACCAGACGCCATCATGGAGATGGGAAATCGCGCGCCTTCCTCACTAGGCCGCGATCAGCATTTTTCACCTTTTTGTCATTTGCAGTGCATAGCATACTTTGTCCAGTTTACGGCACCGATATCAAAGTGCGTCTCGTAGTTGTTTTCCTGAAGCGTCCGCATCACCTCCACTGCCGCCACCACGCCTAAGATTCCATCATACCGGCCTCCGCGCGGCTGTGTGTCTAGGTGGCTCCCCATGGCAATCATTGGCGCCGACGACTTGGCCTTGCCCCTTTTCTGCGCAAACATGTTGCCGAGCTGGTCGACGGTGACTTTGGCGCGCAGATCCTCCATGGCGCGGCGGAACCACTCCCGGACCGCCTTGTCATCATCTGTCAGCGCGAGACGGTTCATGCCCGTCTGTGTTGGGCCCCTCGCTCACATGTTAGATCTTTTGAAGGTAGATGCAAAGGCGGAAGTTGGATGACCTACTCGCCATAGCGGTTCGCCGAGCCCCATTGGCAGGTGTGGTGCAGGGTTTCGTGCAGACGGTCCGCGTTGATTCGCAGTTTAGGCGCCGCGGCCGAGTACCGCCGCAGGCCACATTCGATCGGGCACAATCGCACAACAGGACGCATTGTGTGTATACTAGACAAGGCCGTCATTGGAAAATAAAGACGAAGATCCCGTTTCACTCGTTCAAGGCAGAGCTTTTATATGTGGTGGGGAAGGCGTAAGGTTTTGATGTTATGGTAGTGTCTGTACGCCCTCTGACATTTTTTTTGGCGCGAGTTGAGGCGCTATGCATCAATGGCGATAAGCCAACGGAGCTGGTTCTGCGCCAGGTAACTTGACTTCATTTCCCTGCTGGCAACGAAAACTTAACCAAAGCAAAATATCTATCGACATCAGTCTTCGAACTCAAGGGCCATGTTCACAATGGTCCGTGTTGCGCCTAGCCTGCTGCCGTTGATTTAGATTTGGATTCTAATCAGTCGTCATTTGGAATGAGAAATGAAAAGTTTCCACGTTATCTCTCAACGACGGCAAATTTTAGCGCCGTCCCGGATTATCAACAGAACATGCCCTTTATGGAAGTCTCACGCAAAGGATGCCAAATAGCGATCATGTCTCGGGTGATGGGCTAATACATATGCAAAGTCATAGGTCAACTGTTTGCTACAGCTTGGTATGACTCCTATCCTGCTTCAAAGGTACATTCTACTGCACCTGGGGGATAGTAGATTCATCGAGCCGTTCGAAAGTATATGTTGTATTTGGGTAACTAAAGTACCCGACCCATACTTGATGTGAAACGATGTAGCTCTTATACTAACTAGCTCAAGCTTGGTCATGCCTCACTTTGCAAGAAAAGTGTGCAACATCATCAAGGGGATCCCTGGTGCGGCGCCATGAAGTTCTCATGTCAATTCAGATTACTTGCACACGCCAGAGGATGCCTGACAAATAACAATCAGCAAAGAAAAAATGTGTACAGTAGTATCATGAAACTTACGCCCTGGTACTGGAGGCAGAAGCCAGAGCAGCAGACGCCCCAGGAGCCATCAGCCTTGCAGCCAGAGCCGTTGTTGATGCAGCGCTTCTCAAGGGGTTCAGCAGCAGCAGAAACGGCAGCAGCGCCCATGGCAATAGCGACGATGGTGGAAAACAGCTTCATGTTCAAAGAGTTGATATATTTGAAAGTTCTGGAGGTTTGCTGAAGTAGAATAGGTTTTTCTTATCGAGTTGGTTTGCTTCTTTTGAGTCTGGGGAAGCGAGGACTTTTATACTCGCAAAGTGTGATCCTTTGCCTTTCGTCTCTCGTATATAACATGTATAACATGTCTCGGATATGACGGCTTCCTCTGAATGATCCTGATACATGAAGCTGTGCTGGATATAATAACGAATTGCAGGAATCGGCTTCGGAAAAGTCTACATTTGCATTCTTCCGACGCATGATATCAGACTGCCTCAATATTCCTTCCTCCGCCCGCATAATTGAACTCTGTGATTCGGTCAAAGAAGAATCAGATGCAGCCTGTTCTCGTACGGCATTTATGTACGGTACAGACCGGGTTTCGACATGCCCTCTAGCTTACGAGCCTTGCATATTTGGTCAACATTTTGGTTCGGACAACCCAACCAGGTTGGAAAACTTCTCTCGTTCCTTGACCGGACACCCCACTTTGATCGCTTGCAAGCTACGAATTGCTAAAGAACAAAATAATAACTCAACGACTTGGGCATAAAATCTAGCTGTTTCAATTATGCGATGACGCAAAGGCCTGCGAATAGTTCATGGACGTGTAGCATCGTCCGTGTGCAGCCATGTGCAGCCGCCACCCGGTGACAGTCGAGTTCTCCAGCGCATCGGAAGCACTTCTACCAGCCTATATAAATATGGTGGATGAATTAATTCTATGTTTGGCGAAATGGAACGCCTTCCGGCCTCCTCCCCTGCCCGCCCTACCCGCTCGGGTGCGGAGGTACGCAAGCTGTACCCGACCTTTGATGTGTCAGACTTGATGCAGCTCACAGCGCTTAATGTAAATGTAGCAGTCGTAACTCTTGTTCCTTGGAGTTGACGAATTGCATGATTGAGGGAGACCGTCTGCTGCCGATGTAGACAGATTCAGCAATGGCTCAAGAGAGCGTCGCATCTCAATCAATTGAGTGGCCTATAAGCGCTGAATGAGATGTGCTGGGTACTGCACTTGGGGCAATAGACCCCAGTGTTTTACCTGCATGCAAATTTGGACAGGAAGATGGAGTCAGGCTTTGACTAAAGGATGGAGACATCAATAGACTTTGACCTCTCCAGACATCGTCCGCTCTTGACCGTGGAATCTACTTGAAGTAAAGTAGACATCTGCACCTGACATAGCATGAGTGAGCCTACGCCACCCTACGATCTTTGTCCCGATCAAAGTCCGAGATCGGCCTTAAATGAGGCTTCAAATCGTGCCTGATGCGTAGTTCAAGGACTCTACTCTACATTGGACGCGACATCGAATGCCATGCAATGTGTGCACAGTAATCGGTCCACTGGTAGCGCCTTGTACCTTGAGCCGGCCGCTTTCTGCCCCGTCGCCTGATGATCTTTTGGATCCGACGTAACGAAGAAAAGAAAGCTACATCGGTGCTGAGCATGCCGCTTCGTTCATTGCCCATTTGCCCATCGAATGGCGTAAAAACGAGGCAGACGGTCATGCAGCCCCCAGACATGGCGCTGCACAGCTTGCATTAGCTCCTAATCGCTACTGTTCCACACGCCGTCGTCCCTCTCCAACGTCTCCGACGGTCCGGGCAAGAGTGTGTATTGCCGTGTCTAGCTTACCAGTCTCGTAAAACGCCGAAATAATTGGATCGGACCAGGGGACAATTGGCATGCGACGGTCGCGTGGACGAACATTATTGCACAAAGCGCCACAGTTGTCTCGAAGTGACAATGGAGCTATTATTACCACATGACCTCAAGGCAAGTTTCTCGAAGGATTCGGGCGCAGGTTCCTATTCCTTTCGCGAAGGCGATGAGCCGAGGCAATAAGCTGCAAAGGAAATAAGAAATCGCGACGAACAGAAGGACTCGAAGAAAAGACCATTCTAGGCAAATGGTACGAGCTCCATCGCGGCTTGCCACAGCTTATCGATTTGTCAAGGTGAGCTCAGGTCAACGCCAAATACCCGCAAGCAAGTCCGGACAGCTACAATGTCGAAATTGTAGTCGGTGCCACCAGCGGCATACAAAAATGCTGCTACTCCAGCTACTTAGCCGGATGCAAGAACTGTTCCCATCACACGAATCACGCTACCTGCATATTGGTCCGCATTGGCGCATCTGCCTGCCACGAAGAGGAAGTCGCTATCTGTACTCCCCAAGCAACTCAAAGAGATGTCGAACGTTTCGTGCGGAGATGATCTAAAATTACTTCTCTAGTTGCGTTTATGGAGAACAGATATAAAACTTCGTGACCGGACAGATTCTGAGAGATTTGCAGATACTTTTGCACCGGACTTCTCTGCCGCAGTAGTGCTTATGGATGGGATGGACTACCACCACGCATCGCTAAGGCAAGAAACACGCTTCGAGGATTCTTGTATCATTCTTTCGGCATATTTATTACAGGGAAGGCGTTTTATACTCGGCTAGGACGATGATATCTCTACAATATTCAGGTGTTGGATTTACACGCTGAAGGCTACCGAAGGAATGCACACCGATCCTCTTGCGGCTCCAGTGACGGTGCTGCAAAGTATCACCTCGATGTTTGTTTCAAGCATAAGCTCGTCGGGACCCAGCTTCTGGTCCTGCTCGGATATCGCAGTCAGCGGGCGGGTACCTGGACGCCAAGAGTGGCCTGCAACCAAGCACTCCCATCGGACAATCGTTGGTTAGGCTTGGCTAACTACGGGAAGCCGGAAGTAACATCCTGCAACATATTGAAAGCGGGCTTTCCCCAGATTAATTCAAGGCATAGGAAAGGCAAGATAATAATTGAGTATTTATTATCCATATATTTTCACCTTTTTATAAGGTGTGGTCATGCCTTTCGCATGCATCGCCGCGACATCTAAGAATATAGACTAGTAGTACTATCAGTGCTGCCGAACTAAAATGGTAAGCTTGCGCGGATAAACTGCTCAATATAGGCTTTCTCTGACAGATGTTAGTGTTTTGAGTCTAGAACTTAACCAATGAACCCGGGCAGTTGACGCTCTGAATTGACACGTCTGTTCACAAAGTCCGGATAGCCAAGCGTGAATTCGACGGCACCGCCGAACCCCGCGTGCCCCGCCAACTCATCTCCTTGTTACATAGGTACCCATCCGCCCCGGCGAATTGCGACTTTGTGATTATTTCGTTCAATGTTGTGTTTCTGTGCTAGGACGAGTAAGGAAGGAGTCTGGGTAGGGCCTCGCAAAGCAGTATTGGGGCGAAATCAGCTGGCGCTTCACTCGATGCAATAGGCCAACATTCAGCGCGACAATACGCAAGTGTTAAAACGCGATGAACCAAGTTTATATGTTCAAACGAGATGGAGCACTGCAGCTAGGGGCAGGCACGTCTGCGAGGAATCAATAATCCATTTCGTCCATGCAGCTCCCTCTCCACTTATCATCACGAGCCACAGTGTCATCAGCAAGAGTGTGCGTAGTCTCATGGTCTTCAACATAATCTATACTAACTAGACTGTGAAACGGTACTCGGGATGACTGTGACCCAAGGTCCATTTCTCATCCTCTGTAGCGTCGGCAAGTCGGTCATCTCGTTGACCCTCGTCCCTGGCCCTGTTCTCTCTTCGAAGATAGAGTGTGGTCACTCCAATTGTAAGGAATAGAATACAGGATCCCCCAAAGTTAACCAAATGACCTTTCACATAACGAGGCGCGTCCGTAGCAAGATACGTCCATGTCGCGATAATTGATCCAATGTTCCCTTCACCAACCACATAAGCGCCCACTATGACCCGCACGCTTGGCCCTGCCGAGTTGCTCATCACCCAAGCAAGTAGAATCGGCGAGCAGGAAAAGGTCGCCGACGTGGTGAGGAAAAAAGCGAAATAGCGAACAGCAGTTGATGAGGCAAGAGCAAGCATGAGGAAGCCAGCCATCATCAAAGGCGACAGCAGAAGCAACACCATGCCGCGAGTTTGGAAACGATCTGATGCAAAGCATGCCGCTATGCAGATACATGCTGCAACCGTGTAAGGCGGTACCGTAAGCAACTGCGCCTGGGTAGACGTATAGCCCATGGATTTAAGCAGAGAGGGCTGTTTTTTGTAGAGCGACAATGTTAGCTAGGCCAGACGCGTTCAAAACTTTGATGCATGACAATAGTGGAGTTTGACACATACCATGAAGAGTGATAATGCTGTCATTGATAGCAGAGTCATCATGATCGCAAGTGACACCAGCTGCGTATTTGCATTCCATAGCGCTCTCTTCATGACAGACAGACTCCATGCACCGAGATCTTTCCCTCCAACCATCATTTTATTTTCTTGGTCAATTCGTCTGATCGCAACTTCTTTTTCGGCGTGGGTGAGGAAGCTCGCCTCGGCCGCCGACGCCGGCATATACCAGTAGACGAGACCAGACACAATAATGGTCATCAAGCCCTCGACGAGAAATATCCAGCGCCAACGCTCAAACATGCCAGTTTTCGGGACATTGCCCAAGGCGCTGCCAAGGAGGCCCCCAAAAGCGCCTGCGACAGATCCACCAACGGCTTTAATTCCCCAGCGAGAGGCCATTTCATGTCTCCGATAGAACTGTGAATAGGTATAGAGGAGGCCTGGCTGAACACCTAAGAAAGCCAACATCCGTCACCGTGTCACCGTGAGCTCTTCCTTCCATTTGAATGAAAGTGGGCGAGGACCAAGGGAGGAGAGTGCACTAACCTGCTTCAAACATGCCAAGTAGCAGTCGGCAGCCAAGGACACCTGGGTAATTGTGCGTAAATGATGTGCCAACAGTTGCCGCTCCAAAACCAAATGTAATGAAGCTAAGCCAAAGACGAGGACCGAATTTTTGGCACATGAGGTTTGCGGGTATCTCAAACACTATGTAAGTGACGAAGAAGAGAGCAAGCACAACATTGAAGCGCTTTCCCGAAAGATCAGTATCCTCCCTCAGTCCAAGCACCACGGCATTGCTCATATTGCTACGGTCAATCGTGGACAATATGTGCACAGCAATACCCAGAGGCAGAACTCGCCTGTCGAATTTGTGTCGGATGACTCTTTCAAGCCCAATTTGTTGAGCCTCAATACCTAACTCCACAGGTTGGGTGCCGACGTGTACATCACCAGCACCTACGCTAGCTTTTATGGATTGAACCTCCATCGTGCGGCTGTAGATTCTTATTTCGTAGTACCGTGCTTTTGTATTTTTTCTTGCTGAAGACGAACCTCGAGTACCAGTCGGAGCCACACTAAGGAAGAGGCCAAGTAATCCTATATCTAATCAATTGGACAGAAGTCCGCGTTGTATTCGCAGATGAGGAGATGGATGAGCCACAGTGTTAATCGGAATTTCCGATCTCATCTGACCTAGTCTCGGGCTGGGATCGGGGCTGTACAAAGCATCGTCCAAGTAGATGGTAGTCTCTTCGTGCTGCGACATCGGAGCTTTGCAAGTGTGTGACCGAATTTGGTGCTCTCAAGGGTAATACAGCCTTGGAGGACGAGCCGTGTCTGCACATCTTGTATTGAGAACATCAGCCTCCGGTGTACAGGCCACACTTCAAGACGCTGGCAAGGACTGCATTGCAAACTCCACTAGGAGACCACACCACGACCGCCAGCTTACTGTGAATTGTGGCTTGATGGAAGTTGATAGTCTTATATAGTTGGACTGCATCAAACAAGGCATGGAGGTGCTCAGTACAGGCAGCACGGTGATCTAGTGGCCTTAACTAGCTTTTATAGTTTTCTATGTATTTGATATTTCTTCCCGAATAGTAGCGGGAACCCTTGCTTTATGTCGCCCAATCTAAATTATTGTTGATCAATCTATTTTCATGCTCTAAACTAGAGACGAAGTGAAATCTGTGTCATAGGCGGGCCGCATTCCCCTGCAACTTCATTTCCAGGGGCAGAAGCCCCTCATTCCCACCTATCCATGCGACATCCCGCCACAAACTTAGTGAACGCAGACCGATTTGAACGAGATCCGTCTAGTGGGTGTAAATGATCGGGAGAACGACACCCGACCGAGGGACCGCTCGGGGACAGGACCTTGGCTTCGGGAGCGACCGAAATCATCAACTACGCCATGTCAACACGCATAGTACACAACATTCGTAGAGAAGGCCTGTTTTTAGTCGCCAGAGGGTCACTGCCCGACAATGATACACTGGGCGGTGCAACAGCGGCGCCTCTAATAAAGCCAGCGTAGGCACAAAAAAAAAACGCTCTTAGTATTATCCTTTGATTACCGAAAGAGAGAAACGCTTATCCGGCCTCTGTTTAGAGTGGTGTCGCGACTAATGGTATTTCTCTTTCTAAATCCACACCCCTCAGCAACGGACATTCACTCACCCTGTTCTGCTTAGGCCGGGTTCACGAGTTGCCACAATCGGAACCTGGTGTGCCTGGCTATGCCGCAATGTAAGCCCCGCGCACTACTTGCTTTGTCCTCCGCGCGACCGGCCGGAGTGGCGCGCTCCACGACCGCTGGGCCCGTCGGGACATTCGGCAGGCGTCAGCAGAGGGCAGTGATCAAGTGAAAGCCGGCCTGTCCCAGTAAATTACTGTTCGAATACAGCACAGAGATTGCTACATGGTGTACTCATAATTAAATCGCACTTCTACGTATGCGATCATAGCGATCGAGCCCCCAAAAGGAAGGGCCACGACAACCTTACAGGGCCGACACTAGCGAAAGCACTTTCGCCTAGTTAACATAGGTACTGTAACGTTACAGTACTGCAAACGACGGATATTTGAACACAACTGGCAAAGATAAGGGAGTGGCTACAAAGTAGTGTATAGATTTATAATTTAAATATTTCTTTTTAACATACGCCCATGATACAATTTATATGGACGTGGAAAGCTACTCGACGTGAAAAGATGAAGCGGTTTCGCGAAGCTTTAGTAAGCGGAGCGCTCTTGATTCCAGGTTAGATAGACAGTGTTGACATGCTCTTGTGTCAAGTCATACTAATGATATTCCAGCCTACGCGATCGTGGCTGTGCCTGAGATTCCCTTAAAAGTCTCTCCCGGTGTTTTCTCTCTTCAGAACTTGAATTCCATCTTACTCGACCCTCGATACGCGAATGCGACAGATTCTGACGGCCAGACACTCGTGCCACCAACATTATCTGAATTCACTTATACTTTTCAGGAGGACCTCGAGTCTACTTTCGGATTACAGATTCCGGTTCAGAGCAGCGAAACTGCTACAGAGGGGTCGATTTTCATCACATTAAGCAATGACACGGCCAAATTTTACGGACGCTGCTGGAAGAGCCACATCCGAGGGCTATCAGTTAGAGATCGGTGAGGCTGTGACTATTTCTGGCGTAAGTCCGCTAGGGGCATGGTGGGGGACTCGTTCTGTGCTGCAACTAGCAGTTCTCAATGAAAAAAAGCTTAGCTATGGAATTGCGACGGATTCTCCGGGATGGGCTAATCGTGGATTGATGGTATGGCTTTTGACAGTTGCCTTTTCAACCAGACATTACTAACAATCGATAGCTTGATGCGGGTAGGCATTACTATCCCCCGAATTTTATTCAGGAATTGTGTTCCTACCTATCCTTCTTTAAGCAAAACACACTGCAGCTTCACATGAGCGACAATCTAAATAATTACCCTCAACGCTATTCGAAGGAACAAACCCTGAACCTCTACAGTGCATTTCGCCCTTGGTCCGACAATCCAGCCTTGGCGGGGTTGAGCCCTTTGAAGAATGAATCATACTCGAGACAAGACTTGGAAGACATGCAAAGGGCTTGTGCTGCTAGAGGAGTGACGATTGTACCCGAAATCGAGGCCCCAGGACATGCGCTTTCTATTGTCAAATGGAAACCTCAGCTAGGACTCGAGGATATGAGCATGCTCAATATTTCTCATCCCGAGACAATACCAGCTGTAAAGATGATCTGGTCCGCATTCTTATCCTGGTTTCACTCGAAGACGGTGCACATTGGTGCTGATGAATACGACAAAAGACATATTCGAGACTACGCCCGATTTGTTATGAGATAGCAGAGCATATTCTCAGCGAGTCAGGGAAGAAAGTTCGAATTTGGGGTACTTTTACTCCGTCACAGGGATCTAACGTGTCGAAGAATGTGATGCAACAGCATTGGGCAAACTATGATGACAATGCTTACTGGGACTTCATCAAGAATGGTTATCAAGTCTTGAATGCTTACAACTATTTTTACATTGTCAACAAATGGTCGGCGACGTATATGCCACCCTTATACAAGTCAAAGGCGTTTACTAGCAGTCCCAGCCATGGCCAGTTTTCGCCCAACATTTTTGACATCACCAATGTTGCCAACAATCCGCCACGCAGTGACCCAAACGTGCATGGGCACTTGGTCTGCCTTTGGAACGATTGGGGCCCTAACGGCACAACTGTTCTTGAAGCGTTTCATACTTTCGCGACGCGTTGCCTGCCATGGCAGATAAGCAATGGGGAGGCAATCTAACGGAAGCTCAGTACGACAAAGTCATGGAGAGCTTGCAAGCCTCAGCCCCTGGTCAAAATTTGGAACGCAGAATCAAGTCCAAGACGAGCACTATATTGGATTACCGTTTTTTAGCATCCACATATGATCGAAACGATGTAGAGGATTATTCAGGAAACAACTACCACGGCAAAATTCAAGGCTATGGCTGCCGAACTATGAACGAATCCATTCAATTCTCAGGCGATTGTTGGATCGAGACACCGCTAGGCAGCAAAGGACGCGATTATACATTAAGCTTCTCAGTGAAACCGCAACAACGTCAAGGGAAGCTTTTTGATGGTCCCGACTCAACACTGACATTTGATCATCAAAATCTTACAATGATCAGCGGCGGCATTTTCTACAAGGTCAATTATACCTTGCCTCTTGATACTTGGACAGATGTCAATATTAGCCGGAAGAATGAAAGAACATTTCTTAGTGTATCGGGCGGCAAGAAAATTAAGTTTCTCACTATCCTAGGCATATGGGGTCAAAGGTTTGTTTGGGCTCCAATGGCATTCGAAGCACCGGTTGCGCGTATTGGCTCAAGATTTATTGGTAAAATCGGGAAAGTCACTCTTATTGACAAGGCACTGTAATCTCGAAGGTCTATACGTTGAGTTATCTTTAGCAAAGAGATATTCAAAAGATTGTGAGTAGTAAGCTATTTATATCGTTCACTTCTTTTCTTCTACTTCGACATATCCGACGTGCTCAGTTCTTCTAAATAATGAGCTTAGCCGCTTTATTCTATGCCGAACCCTCGTAACCTACCTCGGCCCTATATAGTGATAAAGACTAATTAATCTAACACAGGCCATTTTAAAGATCTTGTACCTAGGTATAGCCTAGATAAATTATGACTATACTTTGCTATTACTAGTAATACATAATCGTGCTATAAGGTCTTCGAAATTATACCCTATTCCCACTAAATGATTAAGCCGGGCTCTTACTATGATATTTCAAGAGTATAGAGAGCTGCGCGCCGTTTACACTCGCGTAACCCTTCCCCCTTCTTGACTTGCCTTCCTTTCTATCTTCGCCTACATTACCATTACGTCAACATCTGTCACACGACCAGCGGTCGCAATGCACCTCGTTCTACGCGCATTATTGAAGCCGGAGGTATTGGGGGGAAGGCAACTTATACTACGAGTACCAAAGCTCGCGTGGCGTCGGGCGATTAGCTAGCTAAGGAAAGGATCTCCGTAAGGCTAACCTAAAACCAGGACATCAATGAATGTGTACCATGCGAATTTTGTCTGGTATATCGCAGTGGTTACCTTGTCGGGTAAGTTTGGCCACCCTTAGGCTCAGCCGCACCGCTAGAATGCCTCGCTTCTTAGTCCGTGATGGGAGTCACGTCGGGTGCTTAACTCCCATATGGAAACCTTGACTTCTTCTCTTTATCTAAATTCTCAACAGACCTGTTCAAAATGACACACTTATTTAATGGGTTACGGATATTTTTTCGGCCGCTGCTAGTTGGGCTCTTTAACACCACCATCTCCTGGAGCATGAGATGGCGCGTCTTGGTCCTGCAACAGTTCGTCTTCCTGACGTACACAATCCCAGCGGCACCGTACCTCTTTTCACGCCCTTTCGTCACTGAATACCTCCCCGTCTTTCCCAACCGCTCTGTCCGCGCACTTGTGTTCAAAGGCAAGGGAAAAGGAAACGGCCGCAAGCTGCGCCCGCTGCATATTGACATTCACGGAGGCGCCTTTGTCGGCGGCCTGGCCGAACAAGATGCACGCATATGTGAGATGTGGGCAAATGAAACGGGCGCCATTGTTCTTAGTATCACCTATCGTTTTGCTCCCGAGCATGTGTTCCCGGCGGCCATCGACGATGTTGATGCGACCGTGCAGTGGATCAAAGACAACGCAGAGAGCCGATGGGGAGCTGATCCTACACTCTTATATTATTATTATTAAGATACTTAAATTATTTACTAATAAGTAGCTATATACTATCACTTATTCTAAGTGTCGGTACTATAAGGCGACAGTTTCCTAACTAGTGTTTTTACGCTATAAAAAAAAACCTAGGGAGTAGTGATAATTATTAGGCATAGTAGGTAATAATAAATAATAAGTAAGTGATTTCCTTACTTTTATTACTTTTAAAAAACTAAGGGTAATAATAATTTTAAACCTAGGTTAGAGTTAGTAATAATTTCTTAGGTATTAGGGTAGGATATTTTTAAGTATTAATATTTTTATTATATTAAGCTATAATATTTCCTACTTATAATATTTCTTACTTATAATATTTCTTACCTATAATATTTCCTACTTATAATACTTCCTATATATAATATTTTTATAAAGAATTACTTATATAATAAATTATATATAAAGTAATTTATAATAATATTTATAGTAATAAAGGTAATAGCCTTTACTTATTTTATTAGTAATAATATTTTCTTTACTTCTAAACTAGTAATATTTACCCTTATATAATTAATTTCTTTTTATAGTAGTTATAGAAATAATAATAGTTAGGGGTAAAAAAAAATATATATTTCTTCTCTATATAGATATAATAGTTCCTAATATTAAAATAAAAGTATTTATAACTAATACTAATATTATATAAGACCTTATTATTAATAAGTAATATTATATACTAATATACTAATTATATTAAATTAGAGTATTAGGTTCTAAGGTTAAGATATATTTCCTAACTATACTATATAGACTATTACGCCTAGAATATTAAAAATTACACTAATAGGTAATTAAGTAAGATATTATATAAACTAGTAAGGATATTATTAATAATATATATTTCCTAATTAATTAGTAGCCTATCCCTAAACTTAGGGACCTTATTAAGAATAGACTTTAATATAAGGTAATACTTAAATATAACTATATTACTAAGGATAAAAGACATATCTAAGAGTATATATAAAAGGAATATAGTAAAAACTACTAGGGTATATAGAGAAGGCTATATAAGAATATACTAAACAAAGAGGGTCTACTATAAATTAAAGGTATACTTTTCTAGTAACTATTTCTATCTAGGCCTAGTAACTAATATTTCTAAGTCTAAGCATAGGTAAGATAAATAGCTAAATAAGCTAATACTAAAGATATAACTATATTATTTTATACTAAGATTAATATAAAAAAGTAAGGCTATATAAATATTACTAAGCTTAATAAGTATAACACCCCTAACTAATAGCTATTACGTCTTAGCTCTACTATATATCTTAAAGGTCTACTAGCTAAGAAATAAGATATTTATATACTTACTAGTTTATATAACCTAGATAATAATAACCTAAAGGTTAATAAGCTAGTTAATACTATTACTACTATTCTTTACTATATTATTATTAAGGCTAAAGTATATATTAACTAAGAGCTAGTTAATAAGAATATATTATTTAAAGTTAATAGGCGCTAGGTTAATATAGAGGCTAGTAAACTATTTTACTTTTATTATATATACTATACTTATATTAGGTATATAATAATTATATAAAGGCTTATTATATACCTTATCTAATATAAATACTAAGATAAGTATTTACGCCCTAGACCACCTTTTAAGTTTATAGCTAACTAAGAAGAAAACTTCTTAGTATTATACTATTTCCTATAATAAGTAATATAAGTAAAAAATAAGTCTAGCCTTACCTAAAAAGCCCTTAAGAATATAGAGAGGTAAATAGTTAAGCTATAGGATAATATAATATAATACACACTATAATTAAATTATAATAATATTATTATTAGCTTCTTTACTATACTTAGTATATAACCTAATAATAGATAAGTAGACTTCTATAACTTTATATTAAAGCTATCTACTATTATTTATATTATATAGCTCCTTATTATTAAGTTAGTATACTAGTAATAGTAAGTTAATATTAAAGATATAATAAATACTAAGATCCTAATAGAGTAGGTAAAGCTAGACATACCACCTATATTTATTAAGGTTAAAGAAATAGCTATAATATACCTAGTTCTTAGTAATAATAAGTAAGGAGTAACACCTATATAATATCTCTATTAACTACGTAACTATAGCTTTAAGGCCTTTACTACTACACTAATACTAGGATATCTTTACTAGGAAGGTGAGGATCTTATTTACTATAACCTCTACTTTAATATTAAGGGAGTTAAGGCCACTATTATAAACACTTTATAATAAGCTTATAAACTACTATTTAACTTACTACTATTTATAACTAATCCCTAATAAGCTTTATTATCTTATAATAGTAAAGACTAAGAGGTTAAAGCCTTTAACTATATAGAAAATATATAAGGTAGAAGTATCTTACTATATATCTTATAAGAAACTATCTTTAACACTATAAACTAGGATATAGTTAGCTACTCTATAAAAAACTCCCTTATTAATATAAGCCCTAATAATAATAAGTAGCTATTTACTAGAGTATAGTAAAATAAGCTAATATATTCTTACTTTATATTAACTAAGGAGGTAACTATCTTAAAGCTATACCCCTACACTATGTATATATATAGCTAGTCTATAAAGTAGTTCCTTAAGCTCCTCCTATACTTTATTTATATAATATATAGTTAGCTAGTATATAATACTAAGATACTTAGTATTAGACACACTAATTCTAATAATAAGGGGGTTAAGAATATATTTATTAACTATAGTACTATTATAATAGTTATATTACTATATAAGGGCTATAGCTATTCTACTAAGGAGAAGGTTATTTATAGGTTCCTCCCCTACCTAGTTAGTAAGCTCCTAGTATACTTTCTATAGCTTATCCTCCTCTTCTAGTAGGTATTATAATATAATATATAAGATATAGAGAAGAGTAGTAATTTCCTATAGCCTACTAAGCTTAAGGAGGATAGTAATATAGATAATAAGCCTAACTACCTACGCCCTAACCTTACCGCCTAGTATTAAGGTAGAAATAGTAATAATAATTTTAATATTAATAATAAGCTAAGGCTAGAGGCTAGCTATAAGAGGCAGCTATATAATTACGCTATAACTACTCCCTATAATAGCCTAGCTAGGATATAGTCCTTAACCTAGG